AATACCCTTTTAATAAGATCTTCGAGAGATCTCAATACTTCATTATCTGGATCATTTTCATATTCCTTGAATTGAAATATACATAAGCCTTCACTTTTAATTTAACTTGAAGTTGATTCTTGCTTGACACAAATATATAGATAGTTTTATAACATGAGTATTTTTCCAGGAGAACATGAAACAAGAAGTTATTTTCAGAGATCTGTTACAGAAGGGAAATAAATTTTCATGATTAATTTCATTCACAGTTCTAAATAAGCCATATGTGTTTTTCTTTCCTCATTCTTCTGTATTGTAATAACCTGAGTAGTAAAATGTTACCATCAAGAAATAATTGTAGTGTTTTATGACTGCTTTTAATAATCTCTTCTTGTTTTTGCTTTAGTCTGTTGATGTTTGAAATCTGAATGAAAAGGTATTGACATGATGACCCAAATATTTGTGTTTATATACTTGTTCATATATAGTGTGTGTGTATATATATGAAAATTCTTATGTAAATAATCATTTTGAATCTTGCTTCTATGTATAATACATGGAGGAGGTTTCACAAGCATTTCAGTAGTTATAGATGTAATTTATGTAATGTATAGTACACCGACGTATGATTTGAAAGCATGGTGGCAGAATAAGTGAAACATTTTTTCAGTGTGTAAAGCAGCGTAACATGCGTACTGTATAGTCTTAGAATGGGTGCTGTTTGATATTAAAAGGAAGTTTTCACTGAGCAATAGGCTAAGTGCTGGACTTCATTGTAACTGACTTGTTTATTGCCTTTCTGAAACACCTAAGATATTTAATTTAGTTTTAATATTTTTGTTATGAGTCTAAGCAAACTTATCTTTCAGCTTTCAGTGATCTAAGGCAAAATTTTCATGACTCTGTGATCAAATGTAAAAAATGATTTTTAAAATAATCAGGAAATAGTCATACAAGGCTGGCAATACACTTGTATTACGATATAGCTTTGAAGAAAACTTTGCTTGCCATTTCTTTTTTCTCTAGTATTGCTCCACAGGTCTATTTTTCTTGTATCTGTATTCATCTTTAGCGGCATAAGATGCCCAGTTTCTGGGACAAAAAAACAACTTTGTTTCTATCAATTTGATCATCTTCCTGTTTTTATTCTTACTAATAATGTACTTTTGAAGTTATGAATGAGCACATCTGGCTTAAAGACTTTTAGGAAACTTCTGATAATTTGTCAGTCCATCAAGGCAGTTTTTTTCTTTCTCACAATTAATAGTCAAAATTTACTGTATGATTTTTTGCTTTGTTGATTTTAATTTTTAAATTTTGTATTCCAAAATAATCCATGTTGTATTTGTTATATAGAACTATATTATACTTATATAGGAACTGGAGTTTTGAAAAGCTTTTAGTTTCTATATTTTAGCAGATATAGAGATGTTCTCCCCCACCCTTCGTTATGCTTCAGAAACAATTATTTTATGAAATAAAATTCATGGGAAATAAGTTTGAATAAAATGAAAGTCTAAACCCAAGCGTGCATGCTAAATCTTTTACTTGTTTGCACTGATGACTGAAAAGTGGTTTTATGGAGGAATATTAGTTGAGTTTTGAATAAGATTTTAAAAGTCATGTGACTTAGGAAAAACTACAGCTGTTAGTGGGACTTTTGTGTAGCTTAGATTACATCTAAACATAGTAATTTCTTTTGGCCAGGGATTATGCACCATGCCAAGGATTTTTATTAGGTGCTAAGGTGTCTACTAGTTAACTTGTGGTAAGTAAGTATATAGGTAAAAATATCTTGATTTCTGCAGTATTGCATGCAATGTGCATTATGTATAGAAAGAGCAGTGACATAGATTGCAAATCAGAAGTATAAAATTTCTAGTATATATATGGCTTGAAGACATGCCACTATATCACAAATACACAGATTGACCGAAAAAACATTTTGTATATTAATGTAGCTTTTTATTTATGGACAAACATACAAAGTATTCTGCAAAAACGAGTGGTGTTAATGCTTGCAAGTTAATACATAGTTGAAGATCACTCCTATGATGACCAGAAAGATTCAGCCTGGTAGTTATCGCTGTTTCTAAATTACATTCATGAAGAAAGAAAGAGTACTGTACTTGTTTATATTTTGAATTTGCTGTGGGCTGTTGTTGGCATGTATATATATTTATATATTTATAAAATATATATATATATTTTTTTCCTTATACTGCATCAAAATTTTTTACCCGTGAAATCAACTGTACCAACTCCTGGCACATATAATGAACCACACATAGCTTTCAAGTCCTTGAGCAAAACATTAAGCGTGAAAACAATCCCATTTGGTTAAACTGCTTTTTGACTTGCACATGACTATAGCCTAGAAAGTACAAGAGGCTGGCAATTAATCCAAATACTGGCATTCAGGGCACATAACATAATATTGGTACAACTGGTATTTTAGGACACTAGTAATTAATCTTCTAATTGAAAATACTGTAAATATGATATTAATTTGAAAGGAAAATAAGAATTAAAGAAAATGTACATATTGGATTTTGGCAAAAGCGTGTAAATATGCTTCCCAACTCAACATTATTTTGGGTGCCTAGGAAATCTGAACACACATTTATCTATGCAAAATAATTTATAATAGTATATTTGGCTTACTTCACTTGCAGGATTCCTACCTAATGAAGAAACAATATAAATAGCATCTGCGGTTGGTGGATTTCTTCTTTTTTTGCTATTTAGGGCTAGAATTAAATAAATCTGTTTCTCCAAAATACAACCTCTGCAGTTATGAACATAAAATACTAAAGATGTCATCTTTGTAGGATTTTACTAAGGTAAATGCATGAGTAGTGAACTATATTTTGACTTTACTGGGAAATTTGTTTCTCATACAGTAGTGAGTACAGCAGTGTTATGTGAATAAAAGGGCAAGGGGCAGAAGGGCAGAAACTGCTGTAAAATGTGCTTTCATGTTGTTTTTTATTTGTTGTTGTTTTTTAATCCTCAAGTACTCATATATCATGCCAGCAACTGGTTTCCTTGGAGCTCACTTTTTACTCTTGACAAATTTAGCAGTTGTGGGCCAGCTGCTTGTGCCATCTAGATAAATCACAGAATGATAGCATGGCTTGGGTTGGAAGGACCAATCTTTTAAGGAGCTTAAAAATCATCAACTTCTAATCTCCCTGCTGTGACCAGGGCTGCTATGATACCAGTATTAATGCCTTCCACTTTATAGTGTGAAATATTCGCAAATACATTCTGAATGACATTGTAATGCCAATGCCATCCTTAGATTTAATAACACACTCAGTATCATCAAGGTATGAATAAGACATCATGCGAGGTAATTTCATAGCGACTTTTGAAGGTTTATTATTAGTAAATTTATTACAACGTAGGAGTGAAAATGAAAACTGCATTGCAAACTTACAGAAGTATACTATTTTCAGGTCCTGCATTCTGTTACATTTTGATCTATGGTATTGAAAATGATATTTTTTAAAAATGTGTGTTACAAGACATTTAGATCTTCAGCTCTTTGAAGTTTACCTCTTCTAAAAAAGGAGTAAAAAAATTTTTGCTGACCCTACTGTAAAGGGCCAGGAAAGTAAAGAAGGTAAAATAAATGCTTGAGAGCTATGGAAATTGATAACTTTTTATTCCAAATGAGCAACGGGTTTTACATAATTGTGTTTTGTTGAAGTGAGCTTAAAAGCAAAACAAGTTCTGACTTTTTTTTTTTGGTCATATAAAGAAGGCAACATTTGAACCACAATGACATTAATTTTAATTTCTTTCTCTGCATTTAAAATTGAAAGAACGAGTTATGTTTTGGGAAAGTTATACAAATACCAGAAAAGTAGTAGAAACAGAATGGTGGCGAATCAGACCTTTTACCAGCTGTTATTGGAATCACAAGTTTTGAGGCTTTTCTGCTTTCCAATGTAAATTTTTATTGTGTAGCCTATTTTGTATATCTTTTTGTTACAGTTTCTATATCTGCACTTCCAGATAATAATCCTTTAAAATACATTTCCCACTTGGTTAATATATCTTAAAGTTTTAGAACGTATTATGACCTGGTTCTGTCTAAGCTGTCATCCAATGGAAGGAAATATTTATGTGGCTGATGAAAAATTTGATAATCTTGTGCCAAAAAATTTGGTTTTCTTGTTATTGCTTTCTGTTTATGATGGTTGCTCTGAAAGTATAAAGTACAATAAATGTATTCCCTATTCTTACAAAGAAGCTTCTTACAAAGAAGTTACTTTTAAAAATATGTTTTGTTTAATATTACATAGTTTTAAGAGTGAAGCTACAATGTTAAAATGAAATTTGGGGGTTCTATATTTTCTTGAACTTCTTGACCTTATAGCTATGCATGAAAGGAGGTTATGACTAGGCAGGCCTCTTCTTCCCTGTAACCAGCGATAGAAATAGAGGCAATGGCCTCAAGTTGTGCCCAGAGAGATTCAGGTTGGATATTAGGAAAAATTCCTTCCCTGAAAGGATAGTTAAGCACCAAAACAAGCTGTCCAAGGAGGAGATTGAATCACCATCCCTGGAGGTGTTCAAGAAACATTTAGACGTAGTAAAGGACATGGTTTAGTGTGGAAATATTGGTGGTAGGTGGACGTTTGAACTTGGTGATCTTGGAGGTCTTTTCCAACCATTGTGATTGTTTGATTCTGTGATTCAGTGTTTTTACCTTTTCCTAATTCTTGTAGAATGCATTTACTTTTGCAACTATAATGTAAAAAGTTCTCTATGAAACATGCAAGTTAAGAAATATAACTTTTGGTGTTTCTGTAGCAACCATAGCTGTTTAATTTTACAAGAGTTTTCAAAGAAAGTGTAGAAATTGCCTGATGTGCAGAAATCATAATTGATTTTAGATCATAAGTGCTAATGCTATTAGGGTTCATGTGAAGTAAATGAATAAAATACAATTTTAAATGAGTTGTTTTCAAAAGGCTAATATTTCTCTATGTTCTATAATTTTCAGGTCAAATAAACTACTGAAAAACTAATATAAACACCATAAACCAGTCTTTCTGACCAACTACAGAAGAAACAATAGCAGCTGCTGACGTAAGTAAACTTCCTAGATTACTGTAATTTTTCTTTTGATCTGAAATTATTGAATGCCAAAGTGTTGATGCAACCAAATTCTTATACAATTTTATCTCAGCCAAACTAAGAAAAAATATATATATTCTCCAAGGAAGGCCAGCACTGACTTTCTAAATTGTCTATGCAATGATATCTACAGAAATAACATATCACAGTAAGGAAAATACAGTATTTTATTTCAAATATTTTATGAATACAAGATTACAACAGAAATATTAGTCAAAACGCAGGGCTATCAAGCATGAAACTTTGGATATTTTATTGAAAGTAGTTTAATTTTCCTTTTGTAACATTGTTAATATTTTTAATCACTGTTGCACAGTGGTAAGGTATTTAACACTACTCACCGCTGATGTCATGGGTTGGCATAATAAAATAGGAGGCATTACTTTCAGAGCAGCCCTCATAGCTTGCAACTTAGTCTCTATGCCCTGCCTTAATCCTTTTTCCCATGTGGAAATAAACGCTGGTATATGAAACTTACGTAAAAGAGGAAATGCTACCAAAGATACCACTGGCCGGATAACCACCAGAAAATTCATTTTCCTAATTTACCTAGAAATTATTATGAATCCATAGAGGCAAGACAGTACAAAACATTTTGAGTGGTTTGATTCTTTCTTCTAAACTTCACTGCCATTACTAGAAAAACCAGTAATTGTATGGCCGATTAAGAACTTCCTTGTTCTTGAGAATTCAAAGGTACACATTTATTGAGATTATGAATTTTATCAAGAAAAAGGTTCAGAAGTTTTTTATGTTGTTACTTTTGAATAATGAAGAGCTACCTGGAATTAGAGAGAGAACATCACATTTTTTCGTTTTTCCTGTAACTCCATATCAAAGAACTGTGTGTACCAGTAAAGAATTTGCACTACTTTAATTTTAATCAAGCTAGACCATTTCTAACTTTAAAAAGTCAGTCCACTAAAGAACTAGGATAAAAATGAAATATTGAAAACATTCTGATTTAATTTCAAAGAGATTAAGGAAACTTGCTGCAGCTTCTAACAGACAACTACTGACTTTTTGTTTTCAGTATTAAAATGGCACTGAGGCAGGGATGACTAACCTGTAGCCATAGACGTGTAAATATAATTTAGAGGTCTAGACTTCCTTATAGTTAGTGGAAAAAGAGTGTATTTTATTTGGTCTAAAGTAGATCTGAAATGCATGTTACAAATGTTCAATCAATTGAAGTACAGCAGATGAACAAGATTTTTATGTCTGTATCACACACTTTTGCATATTCTATGAAGTAAGTTTTTACAATACATTTGGCCTTTTAATGGTCTCTTTAATGTCATTTCTTTTCTTAAAAATAGCAATTCTTATTTGAATAGGGGAGTACTCCATCTGTTAAATCACAGTCATTTAGTCCTCATAACTAGACCATCTCATCCAAACATAATACAAAAATGAGGAAGATAGTGTATCTGTGTAACTGAGCTGCCTAGAAAAACAATAAATCATATTTTAGTAGATCATTAATTGTATCATTGTCTTGCTCTAGAAATAGGTCACATACAACAGTCTTCTGTCTAATAAAATCTCTGAAAGAAAGTTTTTCAGAGTATCTTAATTACACTCATAAATTATTTTATTCTGATTGAGTGATAGAATTGGTGCAGTTACTGAACTGCAAAACATGTCACACTACTTTGTAGAGTTGATTAGAAAAAATACATATGTTAGGAAATTTCTAGGACCACATTAAGTGATGTGATACTTTGAAAAACATTTGACAATTTATTTCACCAGAAACTGCTAAATGTAAAAGTCTCTGAGGAAGCAGTTGTACAATAGTTGTGGAAAGGCTCTCGTTGGTACATTCCCATTTGTGAGAAATCATATGAACTCACTGATACATCTGACAGAAATGACATTGCAGGCTTGGATGCATTGCAAACAATTCATGGGAAACACTCAACTTTTTAGGAAAGGCTCTATGGGCAGAATGAAAATAGGAAATAATAGGCAGCCATATAAGTAGGGCAGCATAGGACATCTAGGAGAAATGGAAATTCTACCAGCTGTCTGAATCAACTTCTATCCTGGATGGCTGTTGCCAGGTCATTTGTCCATGTGTTCTAATAAACAGCAGTATTAGAATATGTAGCTAGCAAATAATGAGAGCTCTGTAACATGACACAAATACCAAGTGTGGTTAGCTGCAGCACCATTGCTATTTTTTCTTAAATATTGTTAGTTTTTTTTTCTTAATATATGCAAGTAAATTTAACATGAAAGCTCTGTATTTATGGAAGAAATTTCCAGCAATGAAATGTATTCCTGATTTTTGATTGTTACAGTAAAAATGAGAAACAAAATTATTTTAGAACTACAAAGAATAACTTGGCTTTTTTAAAAAAAGTATATTCTGAATAAACAATAGGCGTTCATTTTTTGTTCACTTCTAGCCGTGATACTTGTTTTTCAGTTAACCAGCTGAAAGGGTGACTTTATTTTTGGCTGATTTTGTATATTACAATTTCAGCATAATTATTTACTAATCAGTTTTTTAAAAAAGTATTTTATTCCTTGAGAAACAACAGATCACTTAAATAAAAGGGGTGACACATTTTAGTACTTTTTTTTGCATCCCAAACCTTCAACAGACAACTTATATTTATGTTTGTGTTTTCAATAGTTACAAGTTAAACATCTGTTCAAAAGCAGAGGGTAACTGTTGGTATTATTACCATCTTACAGAATATCAGATGTATAAAAATAAGTTCAGTATTGAAGTAAACAATTTTTTTGAATATAATCACCTTTAAAACCTAAGTACATCTATAAATAATAAACCACTATAATAACTATTTAAAATACACATTTCAGTACTCTTCACTGATAAATTACTCTTTATTATATTATATGTAAAGGAATGGATACTGAAAGATCATGCAATAATATTTCAGAATGTTGTTTTGCCCTGTTGCTGTTAGTGCATGTGGATAAAAGAAAAATTAGTAAAAAATTTAAAAATTAGTTCCATTCTTTTGAAGGATCAGTGGATCAAATAATGTTAAATATAATTAAAATAATGTAATTCAAAATCCAAATATTTTTAAAATATCCTTTATACTTGGCATAAAATCAACGTAGAAATTCATTTTAATATTGAAGAGAATAAAAAATTCAGGTGATCTGAGTATTTTCATATATAATAAAAATTTAATATTTAGCCTTATTTCTGCTGACACCCTTTGACTATGACACAAGGAAGACTGCACATGAAACCATGTTTGTTAGGTTAAGGGATATAGCGCACATATATATCACACTGAATGTGAGAGAGAAAATGTGAAAAACAGAACAAAAGCTTTCGGGAACTGGAATCCTTCCTCAGATGATGTCTAAAAAGTATTTTCCCTAACAGGTCACATTAAGAAGGGCTTTTGTATCTGAAAATGATCCGACTTCTCCAGTTTAAATGAAATTCTCTAGAAATTCTTCATACAAATTTTATAGCTATATATTTTGCACAGAACGCAAAGCCCTTTGGATGCATACGCTATAGAATAGGATTACTCATAAAGTAAAGCACGTTGTGAAGCATAACAAGCTTCAGAATCTGCTTGTTTTCTTTACTAATACTTCTCAGTTTCAATTGGAAATTTTTCATAAATTCTGTTTCTGAAACTGAATTTCATCTTCCCTTGATATGTTGTGGGCATACTTGTATCCAATAGCAAACAGGTCAAGTTAATGATAGTCTATCTTATAACTGATGTAACATGCAGTAAGAGTATAGATTTGCAAATGTTTAATGCATCACACGTATGTCTATTGTAACATGCATACTTTTATCTCTGTGCCTATTTTGGAGCAGCTTACAAATGACAGTGCTCTTTGCAATGCTCTCAATGAACTAAAAAATAATCCAGTTGTTGTAATCTACCATGGATAAGAAGAAAGTTTCTGAACTATAAAATAAGCTAAAGTTGTCAGGTTTAATCCACTGTTAATCTGTAATCATGTAAACTGGCTGTCTACCATTAAGCCACTGACAGTTCTTAAGAGGACTTAATTATGTATTGTCCTTTATGGGCACCAGTGCACCAATATATTACTTTTGGAGAAGAGACTGCTTGCTGATTCTGACCTTTACCTAGTCTTTCAATTTTGCAAGCCCTTGAGATGTACTGAGATTGATTGATCAAAATTACTCGGAGTTTTAAAAAAAGCATCTAGAATAATAAACTGAATTCTTTAGAAAATGTTGAAACACTTTAATCCATAAAGTTATTTTTCTTTCAGTGAACAATGTTTTATTGTTTATATGTCACTAAAATGTCATTCCAGTCTCCATATGAAGATATATTATGAAGATATATATTATATGAAGTAATTCAAAGATTTTAAAATTTTGTATTTTATGTATAGTTTATACTTTAGGACATGCTAATTTTTTTGGGGGGAGGTAAGGAATAGGCCCCTCGTTTATCTTTAACAATATCCTCCACGATTCCTTTTCTGCAAAACAGAACAGGAAAAAGAAAAAAACTACAAAAATCCCCACTCCCTTACTTTTTTTGATGGTTTAAAATTTAGAGAAAAAAGTGAAATAACAGTATTCGGTAATGACTTTCCATATATGCAGTAGATAGTAAATGTTAAAAAATAGTAAATGTTGAAATGTTATAAGGTGTTGTACCTCATTTAAAACAGCTTTCTTATCTCTTTACTTTTAGAAGGCCCTGTAATTCAAACAAAAAAGATTGCTTTGTATTATTACTTAAAGCTTTATCTTATGCGTGATGTTCTTGTTTTGTCCATTTTACATTTCCATCAACACTGTAAACTTGATCTTCATGTAATCAAGTGTTGCATTTCTCCCTGCTGGAAGTCTCCCTTCAGGAAATTGTGAGCTAAACATCTGAGGTGGATAACTGTGAGGGGTATGGTAAAACTGTTTGCTGTCAAACATATATAATAAAACATTATAACGGTAA